AAAAGCACGTGAAATTATATTACAAAAATTTGAAGTGATAGCCATTGCTGAGTTTGGATCTAATACTTTTATGGCTACAGGTACAAACACTGTAACGCTATTTCTAAGACGTAAGAATAATTATGAAAGTATTAAATTAAAAAAATCTGTTGATCTATTTTTTACAACGTTGCAGGATGTAACTTTAAACGGGGTAGAAACCCCTGTAAGTAAATATGTCTCTAAGGTTTGGGATGGGGCTACATTTGAAGACTATAAAACACTATTGCAAAAACAGCCGAATGAAAAAATAAGGCAGCATGAAAACTACAGAGAATATCAAAGTATAACGTTAGATAGAATCCTAGAAATAGAGAATGAGAAATTATTCTACTTTGTTTTGGTGTATCCCCAAAGAGTAGTTTTACTAAATAGTGGACAGAAGACTGATGAAAAACAGTTTTTAGGTTATGAGTTTAGCAATCGCAGGGGGAATGAGGGTATACACGCTATACAACGAGGTAAAAGCATAGATGAATGTACGAAGCTTTTTGATGCTGACTCATTTGATAACCAAGAAAAAGCTAGTACATACATATACAAAGCGTTTGCAGGTGATTTTAATTTTCCAATACATGAAAACTTGCAAAAAAATATTAACCGTATTGATTTAGTAGATCTACTTAGTTTTGATCGTGCTAAGTTTGAAAAGACAATTACGTTAGCAGCTAAAAAAAAAGTTAAATATGATCAAATTTGGGGAACTTCAACTGTAGAAGCCCTTGGAAAGCTTGCAACTATTAAAAAAGGGGAAACAATCACAAGGTTAAAGGCCACTAAAGGAGAAATACCAGTAATTGCAGGGGGGAAGTCTCCAGCTTATTATCATAATCAACATAATCGGGGTGGCAATATCATAACTGTCAGTGCATCGGGTGCATATGCTGGCTTTATTAATTATTTTGATATTCCGATTTTTGCATCTGACTGTAACACCATTAAATCAATTGATGAAAACACTATCTCGACTAAGCTAATTTTTATTTTTTTAAAAATAATCCAAAAAGAAGTTTATCAGCTTCAAATAGGACAAGCACAGCCACATGTTTATGGAAAAGATTTGTCAGAAATAAAAATTCCTCTACCCCCCAAAGACATACAGGAAAAAATAGTAGCTGAGATTGAGAAACTGGAGTGTAGAGAGGTTGAAATATCTGAGAATATTACTAAGAATCGAAAACGAATTATTGAAATAATCAATAATTCTGATGGTGTATTAACCAAGCTAGAAGATATTACAACAAAAATAGGAAGTGGAGCAACCCCTAGAGGTGGTCAAGGTTCATACCAATCAAGTGGCATAACTTTGATAAGAAGTAAAAATATATACGATTATGGGTTTGTGGAAAAAGGGCTTGCCTTTATTAGTGAAGAACAAGCGAATAAGCTTGATAATGTAACTGTAGAAAAGGGTGATGTTTTGTTCAATATAACAGGTGCTTCAATAGCGCGATGTTGTATCGTTGAAGAAAAATATCTTCCTGCAAGAGTCAATCAGCATGTTTCAATAATAAGAACTAATGAAAAAGCCATATCCAAATATGTTCAAATGATTTTAGTTAGTTCTAAATACAAAAAAGAATTATTAAAAATTGGAGATGACGCGACATCAAGACAAGCTATCACCAAACTTCAATTAAAAAAATTTAAAATTCCCCTCCCTACCATTGAAAAACAACAAAAAATCGTTGCAGAGATAGAAGAACTTGAGTCTAAAATTTTGTACTTAGAACAACAGATTGCAGAAATACCAAACCAGAAACAAGAAGTATTAAGGAAGTATTTATGACTGAAAAGAAAGCCAAAAAAGGTAGACCGTCAAAAAACATTATAGAACCTATCAAAGACACTCCTGAAAATGTTGCAAAGACTATACTGATGCAGCCACCAAAAAAGAAATGGGATTACTTAAAGAAGAAAAGCGGGTAAGTCCCGCTTAGATGCTTTCAGCGGTTATCCCTTCCGAACGTAGCTACTCAGCACTTACCGTTGGCACGATAACTGATACACTAGAGGTTCGTCCACTTTGGTCCTCTCGTACTAAAACCAGCTCCTCTCAATCATCCAAACGCCAGTGGATAGGGACCGAACTGTCTCACGACGTTCTGAACCCAGCTCGCGTACCACTTTAATGGGCGAACAGCCCAACCCTTGGGACCTTCTTCAGCCCCAGGATGTGATGAGCCGACATCGAGGTGCCAAACCCTTCCGTCGATATGAACTCTTAGGAAGGATAAGCCTGTTATCCCCGGAGTACCTTTTATCCGTTGAGCGATGGCCCTTCCATGCAGAACCACCGGATCACTAAGACCTACTTTCGTACCTGCTCGACCTGTCGGTCTCGCAGTCAAGCTCTCTTATGCCTTTACACTTACACGATGATTTCCATCCATCTGAGCCGACCTTTGTGCGCCTCCGTTACTTTTTGGGAGGCGACCGCCCCAGTCAAACTGCCCACCACGCACTGTTCCGGACCCGGCTTACGGGTCTCGGTTAGACCACCAAGACATGAAGGGTAGTATCTCAAGGATGGCTCCACGAAAACTGACGTTCTCGCTTCAAAGCCTCCCACCTATCCTACACATCAAGGCTCAAATTTCAATGTCAAGCTACAGTAAAGGTTCACGGGGTCTTTTCGTCCCACCACTGGTAACCGGCATCTTCACCGGTACTAAAATTTCACCGAGTCTCTCGTTGAGACAGTTCCCAGATCGTTACGCCATTCGTGCAGGTCGGAACTTACCCGACAAGGAATTTCGCTACCTTAGGACCGTTATAGTTACGGCCGCCGTTTACCGGGGCTTCAATTCAATGCTTCACACCGAAGTGTTGACATCTCCTATTAACCTTCCAGCACCGGGCAGGCGTCAGACCCTATACATCATTTTACAATTTTGCAGAGACCTGTGTTTTTGGTAAACAGTCGCCTGGGCCATTTTTTTGCAACCTACGAATAGGCCATACTTCTCCCTAAGTTACGGATGCAATTTGCCGAGTTCCTTAACGTGAGTTCTCTCACGCGCCTTAGAATACTCTACCTGCCTACCTGTGTCGGTTTGCGGTACGGTCCCTCTATCTTCACTCTTTAGAAGTTATTTCTTGCCACCATGACTTCATTTACTTTGCTTCCCTGGGGTAGGCTTCCCACTCGGCACTCAGCTAATTGGATTTTCCTGTATTTTATGGCACACTAACTGCCTTAGACCGGCATAACCATAACAGGATGGCAAAGTTTCCTTCCCTGCGTCACTCCATCCGTCTGCAGATCAGGTACGGGAATATTAACCTCTTTCCCATCGACTACGCCTTTCGGCCTCGTCTTAGGGGCCGACTAACCCTGGGAAGACGAACTTTACCCAGGAAACCTTAGGTTTTCGGCGGATGGGTTTCCCACCCATCTTTTCGTTACTAATGCCTACATTCTCACTTCCAATACCTCCAGCAAGGCTCACGCCTCACCTTCATCGGCCTATGGAACGCTCTTCTACCATGACGCCAACCAAAAGTTGACATCATCCGTAATTTCGGTTGTGTACTTAGACCCGAACATTTTCGGCGCAAAAACACTCGACCAGTAAGCTATTACGCACTTTTTTAAGGAATGGCTGCTTCTAAGCCAACCTCCTGGCTGTCAATGTGTTTAAACTTCCTTTAAATCACTTAGCACACAATTAGGGACCTTAACTGACGGTCTGGGTTCTTTCCCTTTTGACCATGGACGTTATCCCCCGCCAGTCTGACTCCCGTGAAACATTTTGTGGTATTCGGAGTTTATTTGGGTTTGGTAATCCTTGCGGGGCCCCTAGCCCATCCAGTGCTCTACCCCCAATTAACTTAACACAAGGCTACCTAAATAGCTTTCGAAGAGAACCAGCTATCACCAAGTTTGATTAGCCTTTCACCCCTATTCACAGGTCATCCGAACTTGTTTCAACAAATACCGGTTCGGTCCTCCATTTGGTGTTACCCAAACTTCAACCTGCCCATAAATAGATCACTTGGTTTCGGGTCTACCCCCAACAACTAAACGCCCTATTCAGACTCGCTTTCCCTACGGCTTCAAAACTTCAATTTTTTAACCTTGCATCATACAGTAACTCGCAGGCTCATTATACAAAAGGCACGCCATCATCTAAAAAAAGACTTTGACTGCTTGTACGTACACGGTTTCAGGTTCTATTTCACTCCCCTTCCGGGGTTCTTTTCACCTTTCCCTCACGGTACTGGTTCACTATCGGTCACTAGGGAGTATTTAGCCTTGGGAGATGGTCCTCCCAGATTCCCACAAGGTTTCCCGTGCCCCGTGGTACTCGGGAACATAGCTGAGAGATAGTATAATTTTCGGATACGGGACTTTCACCCTCTGTGGTCAGCCTTTCCAAGCTGTTCTCCTAACCAACTATTTTGTAACTCTCTGAAGCCTTCCAAGTAGCTTCTAGCTCGTCCCACGACCCCGGATAGACAACGACTTGGATCTTACATCTATCCGGTTTAGGCTATTCCGCGTTCGCTCGCCGCTACTGACAGAATCTCAATTGATTTCTCTTCCTCTGGGTACTTAGATGTTTCAATTCCCCAGGTTTGCCTCCTAATGCCTATGTATTCAGCAAAAGGATGACCCACAAAGTGGCCGGGTTTTCCCATTCGGAGATCCCCGGATCAAAGCTTGCTTGACAGCTCCCCGAGGCTTTTCGCAGCCTGCTACGTCCTTCATCGCCTTCTGATACCAAGGCATCCACCATGCGCCCTTAGTAGCTTGACAAAATTAGAACTTACTCCGGCACAAAGACCGAAGAAACTCAGTGTTATCAACGCATTATTACGTTGACAGGAAGTGTATTGATTTAGTTGTCAAAGAACAGTAGACGATTACTCGCCCTAGCTATCAGCTCTAACCTATCTTTATCTATAGAAAACCTAATGTCTAATAAATAAAGATAGGTTAAAACCGTTAGCAAAGATGGAGCTAAGCGGGATCGAACCGCTGACCTCCTGCGTGCAAGGCAGGCGCTCTCCCAGCTGAGCTATAGCCCCAAAATCATAAAATTTCGGTCCTACGCCACAAAGTTGGTGGGCCTAGGTAGATTTGAACTACCGACCTCACGCTTATCAGGCGTGCGCTCTAACCAGCTGAGCTATAGGCCCGAAATCATATTCCGTATCTAAAAGAGCTACTGGTATTGAATCAAGTAGCAATACCAAACATTATCTAATTTAATATTAAAAAATATTTGCTCCCTGAAAACGGAATAGAGACAAAAACGTGAGCAAAATACCCCTAACACCGTAATTTTTATCCGGTCGGGGTCGATCCAGATCGGTTGTTGGCTTCGTTATTTAGGGCAAGCCCTAAATATTGAATCCTTAGAAAGGAGGTGATCCAGCCGCAGGTTCTCCTACGGCTACCTTGTTACGACTTCACCCCAATCACCAATCCCTCCTTGGTAACCTCCCTCACGAGGTTGGGCCGGCTACTTCCGGAAGAATCGACTCTCGTGGTGTGACGGGCGGTGTGTACAAGGCCCGGGAACGTATTCACCGCAGCATTGCTGATCTGCGATTACTAGCGATTCCGCCTTCATGCAGTCGAGTTGCAGACTGCAATCCGAACTGAGGCCGGTTTTCTGGGATTCGCTCCACCTCGCGGTTTCGCAGCCCTCTGTACCGGCCATTGTAGCACGTGTGTAGCCCTGGACATAAGGGCCATGATGACTTGACGTCATCCCCGCCTTCCTCCGGGTTATCCCCGGCAGTCCCACTAGAGTGCCCAACTAAATGCTGGCAACTAATGGCAGGGGTTGCGCTCGTTGCGGGACTTAACCCAACACCTCACGGCACGAGCTGACGACAGCCGTGCAGCGCCTGTGTAAGCTCCCTGGCAAGCCAGGGTCACGCATCTTTCGAATTGCTAACACTTACATGTCAAACCCAGGTAAGGTTCTTCGCGTTGCATCGAATTAAACCACATGCTCCACCGCTTGTGCGGGCCCCCGTCAATTCCTTTGAGTTTTAGCCTTGCGGCCGTAGTCCCCAGGCGGAGTACTTAACGCGTTAGCTACGCTACCGAAACTCAAGGTCCCGACAGCTAGTACTCATCGTTTAGGGCGTGGACTACCGGGGTATCTAATCCCGTTTGCTACCCAACGCTTTCGTGCATTAGCGTCAGTAATGGCCCAGAAAGCCGCCTTCGCCACTGGTGTTCCTCCTGATATCAACGCATTTCACCGCTACACCAGGAATTCCGCTTCCCTCTACCATACTCAAGCCTAACAGTATCAAATGCAATTCCTCGGTTGAGCCCGGGGATTTCACATCCGACTTAATAAGCCGCCTACGCACGCTTTACGCCCAGTAATTCCGATTAACGCTTGCACCCTCCGTATTACCGCGGCTGCTGGCACGGAGTTAGCCGGCGCTTCCTTTGAAGGTACCGTCAAGCCGAGACCCTATTTGAATCCCGACGATTCTTCCCTTCTGACAGGAGTTTACGACCCGAGAGCCTTCATCCTCCACGCGGCGTCGCTGCGTCAGGCTTTCGCCCATTGCGCAATATTCCTCACTGCTGCCTCCCGTAGGAGTCTGGGCCGTGTCTCAGTCCCAGTGTGGCTGATCATCCTCTCAGACCAGCTACCCATCGTTGCCTTGGTAGGCCATTACCCCACCAACAAGCTAATGGGACGCGGACCCGTCCCGAGGTGCTAGACCCGAAGGTCCCCAGCTTTGGTATGGAGCACCCACAGGTGACCATACATTATTCGGTATTAGCCCGCCTTTCGGCGAGTTATCCCCATCCTCAGGGTAGGTTATCCACGCGTTACTCACCCGTGCGCCGGTGTACTTGTTTCCGAAGAAACGTTCCCCCAAGACTTGCATGTGTTAAGCACGCCGCCAGCGTTCGCTCTGAGCCAGGATCAAACTCTCCAGTTTGAAATGCGCTCAATCTATGTGGTGATGTAAGAACAACACCAACGTTTCATAATCGCTTGATTTCTAGTCATTGACTAGGGGCTCACGCAACACTTAACTGTGTTTATTTGTCACTATTCCGTTTTCAAGGAGCAAAAATGTAATTAAATATTAATTACAAAAAACATTAAGCCCTGTTTCAAGGCATAGACCGATGATTCTATCATGGTTTTTTTTCATAAGCAACTAAGCCCATAGACTATAGTAATAAAATAAAAATAGGAGTCGTATTACGATTTGTTTTGTATTCAAACAATGGCTATTTAATGGCTATTTTTGGCAAGACAAGCGGGCTCCGCAGATATGGCACGACTGTATCTGTGTTCAAAATTGATCATTAATTTTACTAAAATATTTCATCCTTAATCATTGTAGAGATGAAATATTAATGAACATAGTTTACGACTATCTACTTAACTATTTCGAAAGAATGCCGTATATATATATAGGTATCTATGGATTACAAATAGAAAAACATAGGAAATAGTAGAATGATTTACAAAAATGATTTACAAAATAGATTATTATAATATGCCCAAGTGACAATTTTTGTTATCAAAAGTTACAGAAAAATGTTAATAAACACGATAGCCTTAAACTTTACAAGGGGGCATACAAGAAGACTTAACACCCTCATATCAAATTTTTTTTTAGCAATTTCGGCTCATTAACAAATTTTGGCACACCATTTGCTTACATCTATGTAATTGCCGCCGCGGATTTGACTTAACATAGGGTAATTTCAAAGAAACGGCACAGACAAAAACACTTAACGCTAAACATGAAGGAGCGTCATTATGTCTGAAAGAAAGAAACGTATCGGGGCTAAGGCTAATTCGGGCTTTACACTCGTAGAATTGATGATTGTTGTTGTTATCATCGGGATCTTAGCATCTATTGCTATTCCACAGTTCCGTAAATTTCAACTACGGTCTCAACATGCTGAAGCAAAAAATGTTTTGGGTGGTATTGCCACAGCTGAAGAATCATTTGCTGCTAGATGGGGTGCGTATGCACAAGCGAAACCAAAACCTTTTACAACTCTTCCTAAAGGAGCGAAAAAAGGTTGGACTACTTGCGCAGCATCTAATGCTGAAGGTTACTGCCTACTTGGCTACCGTGCTCAAGGTCGTGTTGCTTTTATGTATCAAGTTAGACCCGCAGGTACTGGTAGTGGTGTGCCAACTGGTATGTATACAACTTGGACTAACCAAGCAACCGATGCTAAATTAGGGAAAGATGCTGAGAGCTACCCCTGTGCTTTTGGTTCGGGATGTACTACTGTTGCTGGTTTAACACGTAGAGTTGTTGGTTCTCCTGTTATCGCAATGATGGCACAAGGGGATCTTGACAATAATAATACAGGTGGTATGTATCAAGTTGTTAATACGGTACGTGATATATTCCCATATCCAGCAGGCTATGGTGAAAACATCTTTTAAGCTATTTTGAACATAGTTTAAACATAAAAAAAGCGTGTGTATTTTACACACGCTTTTTTTATGTGTTCATTCAGCTCAAAACTAACATCACAAAATATGATCTATCTCGTCGATGTCCTCTGACCAAGAAAATTTACATAATATTCCAACAAATTTTTTACTTAACGGTTATCTAAAACTAACAAAGGCTGGGGTATGGTTACTCCAAAAACAGCCGATTACCAATATCAATATGCAACGTTTTCTGTTTAAACAGCTACAACGTAATTTACAAGGTCAATATTGGGTTGTTAATGGCCCACAACGGATTCTTGTTGATATTGAAGATACACCTTATATGATTACACGTATTGATTATATTGAAACGGAGCATCAGTTTACTGCCAGATTATGCGATGACTCAACTGAAACGCTAAATTTAGCCACCTTAACTCTTGGTCAAAATAATGTACTCTATACAACTGTTAAAAAAGGAAAAGCTGGTGCTGCTGCAACTGAAGACCATAGGGCTCGCTTAACTCGTAATGCAATGCAACAACTGGCACCGTTTTTCATCGAAACTGAACAGGGATTCGCTATTTCTCATTGTGGAACCCAATTTCCGATAGGATCCTGTGATTAATGCAGCGCTCGTTCTTGGGTTGGAATAAACCGATTCTTCCCCTTGTTACTGATTATTTAATTCATACACACCGTCAATCTAACAAATTAGACCTAGGAGAAATTTATCTTGTTCTATCTGGTAAACGCGCTTGTCGCCGTTTATTAGAATATCTTGTACAACAGTCACAAACTTTAGGTTTAGATCTTATCCCGCCACATATTTTATCTATTGGGACATTGATACCAGCTTTAGCTCCCCAAAAGGTTGTATTGGCATCCTATTTGGAACGGTTATTTAGCTGGCGGCAGGCTTTAGTTAACTTGCCACAGCAAAAATTGGTTTTACTTTTTGGCAAGCCAGCGTTGTCTATTTCTTCTTTACAAGAATGGTTATCATTAGCAAGTGCCCTTGAGGAGCTGAATCTGTTGGTCTCAAGTGGTAATTTACGGTTTCAAAATGTTGTAGAACGATTATCTACGTTAGATGGTATTTCAGAGCATGAACTTCAACGCTGGGAACAATTGGCTCAGGTTCAAAAAAGCTATGTGGATATCTTAGACCACCAAGGAAAACAAGATCCGTCAGAATGGCATCTGCAGTTAGTCGAAACACAACATTTAAAGCGACCAGACATGCTTTATGTCACTGCTATTCTTGACCTCAATCGCCTACAGTTAGAAGCTCTAAAAGCACTTGGCTCTTGTGTTAGATTTCTTATTGCTGCACCAGAATCAGAGGCAGCAGCTTTTAATATCTATGGTTGTGCTGATGTCATGTATTGGGAATCTGCAACGGTGTCACTTGAAGAAGAGCGATGTATTTATGTCTCTGGAGCCGAAGATCAAGCCCAGGCTGTTACGCAACTATTATCTGACACAACGTCCGATACAGTAAGACTTGTTGTTCCTGATAACACACTGATTCCTTATCTTGAGACGTCCTTACTAGAAAGTACTGAAACACCACGCTACATTAATATTCCCGAACGTTGGCAGCTACAACATACAGGCCCTGGACGTCTATTAAATCGAATTCACCATTACCTGCTCAATCCTAACTTTCAAACATTATCTATCCTACTTAGGCATCCCGATTTAGAGCAGTATTTACAGCAAGAAGGTGTTGAGACCCTAGGTTTACTTCAAGCTTTAGATGCTTATCATCATCAACATCTGGGTGCCTATGATGTCAATCAACAGTGGTTACGCTCAGAACTTTCAGAAAGCGATATTTCCCTTTTACAGCAAACGACAAGTACTTTACATCGTTTACTTAAAATATTTTTTTCAGAAGATTTATCACCAACACGATGGGCTGAAGAGTTATATCTTTTTTTTAAATCAATTTATCCTGATGTTGATCCTAAAAATCAACAACTTTTAGGGGCACTAACACAACTATCAGAAGTGTTAGAAGAGTTATCAACTCTTGAGATGCCTTTCCTTTCTTCATTATCCGGTCGAGATATTTGTTCACTGCTACAACTATATTGTCGCCAAGAAGCACTTACAGACAGCTATCTCCCTCAAAGTATTGATGCCATTGGTTTTCTTGAGGTTTATACAGATGATGCACCTCAAATTATTGTTACGTCATTTAATGAAGGTATCATCCCCGAATCGCTTGCTGCACATCCATTTTTACCAGGAAAAACACGTTCTTTTCTTGGGCTACAGGATGATCGTAGACGTTATGCTCGTGATGCATGTATCATTCATACCTTGATTGAAAGTAGCGCAAGAAATGCCTATTTTATTAGTGCTGCTATAGATGGTGATCAAACACCACTATTGCCAAGCAGAATTAGTTTAGCTACAGATGATCCTTTTCTACTGGCTAAGCGATTTCAGCGCCAAGCTCACCCTACTTGTCTAACTACGTCTGAAGAAATACCATCACGTAAGACCAGCCCTTTTATCACGATACCAGAGCCCTCTCCGCCTAAGGCGTTATCAAAATTGCGTATTACTGCCTTTCGTGACTACCTTAATAATCCTTGGTTTTTTTATTTAAAGCACATCATTGGTTTAACAACGGTTGATGATTCTGACCAAGAAATGGGACCTTCTTTGTTTGGTATTGTAAGCCATCGTATTTTAGAACGTTTTGGCAAAACACCAAAGATTGCAACTAGTTCGAATGCCAAACTCATTTTTGACTATCTCTCTGAATTACTAGATGCTGAGATTCTTACACGATTTAGTCAAACGCCACGCTCAGCAATTTTAGTACAAATAGAGCAATTACGTTCACGACTACGTTGGTTTGCAACTTGGCAAGCGCAACAGGTTACGGAGGGTTGGCACATTAAACACTGTGAATATAAAATTGATCCAAACTTGATTTTACTTCCTAAGGTTTGTGACAAGAGCATTGGTTTAAGTGGACGTATTGATCGTATTGATGAACATCGTGACGGACGATTACGTATTATTGACTATAAGACATCTGAACAAGGTCGCTCACCACGTACTGATCATCTTGACCGTCAGGGTAATTGGATCAATCTACAATTACCGCTTTATTACTACGCGTTAAGACAAGAAGAGCTAACAGCCGATATTTTGACGGGTTATGTCTGTCTTGATAACGAAGGACCGGTTACGTTTAAACGTGCAGCAGGTCTGCCAGGTCAGTATAAACCATTAACCCCCTGGGACGACGCCTTGATTGAACAAGCAGTTCAACAAGCTTGTCGTATTACAGAACAAATCTTAGCTGGACATTTTCCTGATCAGCCAAGGACGCTATCAATTATTGCAGCATACCCTGAATTTTTAGCCTTACGCCGAAAAAAATAACACGATGCCAGAAACATTAAACTCAGTACACCATTTAATTCGTGCTTCTGCTGGCACAGGAAAAACGTATGAACTCACAACACGTATTTTAGATTTATTACTACAAGGTATTCAGCCAGATACGTTACTTGTGACAACATTTACACGTAAAGCTGCTTTTGAGATTACTCAACGTCTATTAGAACGGCTAGCTAACGCTAAACTTAATCCTGATGGTCGTCAGGTTTTGAGTGATGCTGTTGGACGTAAAATCACATCAACACAACTTGACCAAACGATTCTGATGCTTCGTAATTATCTTGGTCGTTTACAAATTGGAACGATAGACAGTTTTTTTGCACGTATTGCTTCGGGCTTTCATTGGGATTTGGATTTACCAGCTGGTTGGCGTATTGGTGAAACCACGAAGCTGGCCAATATTGAACTAGAAACCATTGACCATCTATTAAATACAGCGCCCTTAGAGCAAACATTAATCGCGTTGGCAGAACTGAATGAACGTAAAGCAAAACGGCCTGTGATGAACAAAGTTCTTGATGTTGTACAAACGTTACGTGATCACTTACCACGACTAGAAAAAGCTAACCATGACAATGCTTGGCATTGGTTTCCTTCAACTCTCACTGAACCTACAGAAACCGATATTGTGACATTGATTACGGCGTTAGAAAATGTCGTTTTACCTCGCACCAAAACAGGAAAGATAGATAAACGTTTTGACAAGGCTGTCAAACAACTTATCCAAATGTTAACTCAACGAGAATGGGAGCAACTAACGCAAAAAGGGCTTTTACCAAATAGTTTACAACCGGAAAAAACATTTTATAATCGGCCTATCCCTGATCAGCTCATAGAGCTTTTACAAGAAATCTCGACATTGACATTTAGAGCCTTAGGCTCACGCCATAGTGCTAAAAATAGCGCAGCGGCTTTTTTACTAACGACATTTGTAACATCTTACCGTTTACAACGTTTGCGATATGGTGTTGTCAATTTTGGTGATATTACACGGGCGATTCAGTCTCTTGGACAAATGCCACTTCAGGACCTATTTTATCGCCTTGATGGTTTCATACATCATGTTCTTATTGATGAATTTCAAGATACATCTTATGCCCAATGGTCAATATTGCAGCCTATTCTTGATGAAATTTTTGCAACTGCTGATGGTACAAGAAGTGCTTTTTTGGTCGGTGATACAAAACAAGCAATCTATCGTTGGCGTGGTGGAAGCCATGAGCTTTTTGATGTTATTGCTCAGACTTATGCGGTGCAAGAATCGACAAAATCACGTAGCTTTCGTTCTTCACAAATTATCTTAGATACTGTCAACTGTATTTTTCAAAATTTACATCTAGTTTCTTTGATTGACCCAAGCACCCAAGATGACCATGCTCAACGAAAACAAGAGGCTTTTATGCTTGCTGCTACAGCCTGGCAACAGAGCTATCCGAAACATGAAGCTGCTGAGCTAAAACCTGGCTATGTTTGTATTGAAACAGTCGAGCAACAAGATGATGATAATGAGCTACGATTTGAACTAGCCGTACAGCGTGCTGATAGCCTTTTAGAACTTAATTCTAATCTTTCTATTGGCATACTTACGCGTAGTAACCGTAGTGTTTTGGCATTACAAGAAGCGTTCCGTCAAGGCCAAAGGGATGATCGACTAATCGCTGTACTCATTGCTCTTTTTCATGTTGCAGACCATCCAACAGACCAAGCATCTTGGTATCTTTTGGAACACTCATTATTGCTTCCAGCTTTACACCGTTTTTTAGGCACAACATCTAAGAGCTCAAGAACAGAAATTGCTTTTGAACTGAGATATTTCTCAACACATCACGGTATCGGAAAGCTCTTGACGTCATTAATTGAACAGCTGAGAAACACCTGTTCTAATCAACATTTACGCTGTTTAAAGCGTCTAGCTAAAGATGCTTTAGTCTTTGATCTAGAGCCTTGGCATCGTGTTTCCGATTTTGGACGTTTTGTTCGTTTACAAAACGATCATGATCTGGTTTCTACCGCCAAGGCGATACAGGTTATGACAATCCATCAAGCAAAAGGGTTACAGTTTGATGCTGTCATTTTGCCTGATTTGGATACAAAACTGGTACAAGCCCCACCAGCAGTTACTTTAATTGAACATCGACAGAAACAACAACTTCAATTAGAAGGGTTCATGCTAAGACCTTCAAAGGCACTACTGCGTGTAGCTCCAGAGCCTATTAGGCAAGCTGTTCTTCTAGATGATTATCGCGATTTTCACGAATCGCTTTCTATTTTATATGTTGCCCTTACACGGGCAAAGCATGAGCTATATATCTGTTTGAATGCTAAAAGTAAACCTGACCATTTTTCTAATATTATTCGGACAACATGTTTACAACAGCACCCGGAAGGTGAGCCGTTATCAATAGGTGATTCTAAGTGGCCCCATCAACTTAAACAGACAATAACACCATCTCAACAACCATCAATATCGCTTCCAACTTTAGAAGAATCTGTTCAAAAACCACTTATGCGCCTTGAGCATAAACAACCCTCAAATGGTACGCAAACGTCACAACCCTTTGCCTCAGATTCATTTAAGAACCATAACAGAACACTACATGAATTTGGGAATGAAGTTCATAAGGCTTTGGAACAACTTACTTGGCTATCTCCTCCTATTACGAAACACTCATTTCATCATACGAAAGCTATTCATATTTATTTACAACAAGCTTTTAGCCAGCAGGATATTGCAAACCATTTTCAACAGGCTTATTATCAAACGCATTTAGGTTGGCAAGATTTATCTATCTCTGTTGAAACTGAACGACGTTTTGCGGTCTTATTAAATAAAACAGTATTAAGTGGTACAATTGACCGCCTTATTCTTGGCTCAACTTCGGCACAAATCACTAGAGCTGAAATCATTGATTTCAAGACAGATGCTGTAACAGAAACAACTTTACATGAAAAAATTGATCTCTATCGCCCGCAGCTGACAGCTTATCAACAGGCTATAGCACAACTGTACCGGCTCTCCCCTGAGGCTATTACAACTAAGTTATTCTTTTTGGGAATAGGACAAGTTTGTGAGGTTGATTTTTAATCTAATTTCTAAAGATAAATGTTGGCCTAATTTGTCAATAGATCTGAAATAGTTTCAGTGACTATTTAACGATGATCAATCGTTAGATCTGGCTGACGAAAAACAAGTGCCGTATTCACACCGCCAAATCCAAAAGAATTCGAAAGGGCGTAGCGTACTGGTTTTTGCAAGGAAGATTCTGGAACAAGGTTTAATGAGCAGGTCTCTATGGGCTGTGAACCAAATAAGTTTACAGGAAGAATACCTGTCTGAATGGTTAGAGAGGTGATAATTGCTTCTAGGGCACCGGCAGCCCCTAAAAGATGTCCTGTTTGTCCTTTGGTACTTGAGACAAATGGTTGATTATTTTCTTGAAAAATACGTTGTAAAACCTCCATTTCAATTTGATCACCAATGGTTGTCCCTGTTGCATGAGCATTAACATAGTCGATCATTTTTGGCATAATTTCTGCGCAATCTAATGCTTGCCGAACTGCTAATTCTGCACCTTTTCCTTGAGGGTCTGGCTCTGTAATATGGTGAGCATCAGCAGTTGTCGCATAACCAATAATCTCTGCATAAATCGTTGCTCGTCGTTGTCGTGCTAATTCGTAGGGTTCTAAAATGAGAATAGCAGCCCCTTCCCCCAAACAAAAGCCTCCTCTCTCTTG